TTGTTTGAAAATAACTTATAATTTAGTTCATATTTGACTCTCTTCGTACTCATTTTTAATCATACATTCACATACTAAAGTATTTTGCACGTAAATTCAAAACTTCTTCCTCCTAACCTCACATTCTCCAAAAAAATCAACATTCAAAACAGAATAATATTACTTATCATCATGATGATAAATTATCGGTGATGTGAAAGTCTATACAGAATAATAAGATTTGATAATTCAATTTACATGAGAGATAGAGAGGAGAGAGAGAAAAAATGTGATGAATAATAGGTTGTCACGTAACTGATGATTTATTATCATGATGAAAAATAACATTATCCTTCAAAACATCATTTTCCTCCATTTTTTCTTTATAATGGCCATCAAATAGGGGCTTAAGAGTTAGACCTGAGCTATCATGGACATAATATGAAGTACGTGTTTTGGAAGGGAACCCAACCTAACCTCCATGGACAAAGGCACATGAAACTCACTCTCTATCAAATATCCATTCAAACAAAATGGACGCCAATATATGCATTCAATACTCAATAGCATTACATACTGAGTGGAATTTAGTTAAGTCATTTAGTGGTTAGTTGAGTCCTTCACCTTTCAATCCCAAGTTCAAGAATAGTATGAATGAAACATGAAGATTTGCAGATGTGGTCTTCAAACCCTACCAAGTGTAGCACATAGATCTCTCAATTCAACATTTTTTTTAATATTCAAATCTCCAAACCTTCAATTTAAGAGTAGATTCGTTCCACTGGATAGAAACCATTAATTTTTTCATTAAGCCAATGTTTGATATAGATTAAAATCTAAAAGCCGACAATAAATGTAATCATATATTTCATTGGATCCACAACTTTTCAACTACACGTGCATTTCAAATTTTATCAAAAATTACTAAAAATCTGATTATAATCTCTACCAAATAGGAGCTAAATAGGAAAGTGTTTTAAAATGAAATCGAAAATTTGGAGACCCAAATTAAATAGAAAATTAAATTTGATTGAGGATCGTGTGCTATATTTGTAAAATTTGAGGAGCAGCCACTTTTTGCTTGAAAATAAGAACATCAATAACCAAAAACTATATGCTGTGCCGGGAAAAAAATACTTAAAACAAAATTAATTTTTACGAAGAAAATATTGTCCTTCAAATAACATAATTATAAACTAGTCTAGTCATACTGCCACGGGATTAGGATTCATATCACAAGAGTGACACAATCTCACTAGATAATACATGTTAGAAGAGTTAGTGATAAAAAAAAAAATTAACATGATCACGTATTGTTTCAAATTATTCAATTATTTTGAATATCGGAGTAAATCTAGCAATAAGTTGAATGGAGTTCTCTTAAAAATGATTTCACATAGCCGACTCAAAAATTATTGATTGTTGTATATTGCCACCACTAAATTTAGAGTTTTTTTTTTTTTTT